TATTCAGGTGCTATCCCTCATCCAATCAGCTGTATCTAGGAGTGCCCAGCCTTACTGTAGCAACATGGTTGCTGGGCTGCCTCTGAGGGGAAAGCCAAGGAGGTTCCTGTGAACTGAGCATAACCCAGCTTGAATGTCATAGAACAGGGCAAATGAGATCTCTGTCTTTTCCCCACTGTCCTGCCATATTCCGCCTACCAACCTGATGACATGGCAGCAGAGTACTGTGATTAAGAACTGGGGTCCTGAAGTCAGAGATAACTTGTTCAAATTCCAGCTCTGCTACCTACTCCATGTGTGCCTCAGGTAGGCCACTTTACCTTTCTCTGCCTCAGTTTCCTCCTCTGCAAAATGGGGATAATATTAGCAAATACTTCTCGGTGAGTATTTAATTAACATGCAAACTATTATGTGCCCTGCCTAGAGTACATGCTTAATGCCTGGTGGCAATTATATAACAGTGAGTTTTCCTTAAAAACCGAGGAAGCTTATGCTTGACACTAGCTGAAGCTTTTGTTCTAGAAGTCTGCCCCAAGATTCCTGTTTGGCAGGCCCTGGAGTTCTAGCAGCCCCTAGCTTTCCCTGAAGGAGATTTGAGAGGCTTCCAGAGGAGCTTAGGCCAAGTCTTTGGTGGCAGAATGTCCCTTTGCTGAGACGGTGTTTTCTGCCTGGCTTCCCAGAGTGGGGAGGACACTCCCGGAAGATTCTGGCTGTGGTTGTTTCACAGCATGCTTCCTGCAGTCATCCCTCGCTGGTAGCATCGCCAGAGGCAAACCCAGTGCTATTTGTGTCTTGTAAGCTCAAACCTGCCCTGATTCCTGTTCCACCCCCTCTTCCCTAGGCGGGGAACAGAGTGGAGTCAGATGAAAGCCAACAGGAACATCATACACGGAGCAAGAATGAAAATGAGGGTGGCAACTGAGGCTCCCACAGCAGAGCCTGTGGGTTTCAGTTAACAAGCCTTTGGGGCCTCAGTTTCCCTACTCATCAAGTAGTCTGTCTGGATCTTGTGATCCTTCCTGCTCAGACTCTACAGTATTGGGGGTGTCTGGTGGAAGACCCTGTATTTTATTGTTGGCTGTGCCTCTCAGGATAAATTAGCTCCTTTTAACTGTGTTAAAATCGCAGTTGTATCTGTGTCCCCTTCTGGGTCCAGGCATCAACCCTATAAGGCTGAATTTTCTTTTCTATTACCTGAGTGAAAGCCATCTGGGAAAGTTATGAAATCATTGCCAACAAACATAATTAATCATCATGATGGGTACCATTGATTGAGCACCTACTATGTGTTAAGCCCTGTGTCTAAAAACGTCATATGAATTAACTCATGAATTGCTTCTCTCAATCCTATCAAGTAGGTGCTATTATGATCATTCCCAATTTGCAGGTGGGGAAACTGAGGCTTTGAGTATTTAGGTCACTTGCCCAAGGCCATGTAGAGGCAAAGTAAACATCCCTGTCTGGCTTATTCTCAGAACTATGCTCTTAAATCCATAAGATGCATTTCCTGAAGGCCTGTCCCCACATTCCTAGTTTGCAGAGTCTGGAAATTTTAATCACTCAAGTTTGGAAGGGACATTATGAGGGCTGGATGTTGAAACCCCTTCTGTGCTGGCCCAGTGATTCTTTCCAGCTCTTATTAACTTGTCTGTACCTCCCAAAGCTGCTAGACCTGGCCTCCATGTGGCTGTGGTTCTGAGAGTTTCAGGAGAGAAATACCCTCAGGCCTCCCAGGTGGCACTGTCTCCCTGGGGTAGTTTTGCTAGAGTTCACAGCCCCAGGGAGCCCCAGGCCATGCAGTAAACCAGAGTCATTTCCTTCCTGGTGCCACTTCGCTTCTTCCAAGAGGAGTCTAAGCCTTCACTCACCACTCAACTGGCAGCCCAACTCTGCTCTCCTCAGCATATCAGGAGGGGGAGATAATGACCAGAAAAGAAACTCATTAACTAGCCTCATTTTGCCCCACATTCCTTATATAAGCACTAAGTGGAATTTCAGAGTTTATATTGCAAGCCTGACTTCTACAGACTTTCTATATTTGTTAGGATATTTTGCTTGCAAGAAAGGAAACTAATTCCAGCTAGATTGTTTCAGTGATCTCTTGCTACATAATACACCACTCAAAATGTAGTGCTTGAAGCAATAACAGTGATATTATTTTTTGTGATTCTGTGAGTTAAGAATTCAGACAGGGCTCTGCTGGGTAGGTTTTCTGCTCCAGGGGATATTGGCTGGATTTGCTCACTCAGTTACATTCAGTTGGTGGCTGCACTAGGCTGGATGGTCCAAGAAAGCTTTACTCTCGTGTCTGTACCTTGGCACTCTCCAAGTAGCCCCTCTCTCTCCATGTGATGCTTCCTTATTCATTAGTCTGGCCTGAGCTCCTTTACACGGCAGCTGGCTCCCAAGGGAGCAAAGGTGGACATTGCCAGGTCCCTTAATAGCTAGGTCTGGGACTGGCAGGACATCGCTTCCACCACTCTCTTTTGGGGAGAGAAAATAGGACCCCATCTCCTTAGGGGATAAATGGCACATGCATGCAGGGGAGGGAGGCATTATTGACAGCTATCTTAGGAGACTCTACCACATTATACAAAAGGGAAATTTGATATAAAGTTTCAGAGATATTACAGGGAATCTGAGGACAGGAATACAGCCTAGCTTCAAAAAAGATCTACTTCTCATTCCACATGTTACATCTTGCCAGTTTTTATAGCTCTTTTTCATCCTGATTCCAAATTCCCAGGGAAGGAACTCTGATTGGCCTAGCTTGCCCTAGGTGCCCACCTGTCATCCAATCATCTGTGGCCAGAGGTGCCAAGCTAGACAAACATTGCTGCTGAGAGTTTCTCCTGAGCATTAAAGGGGCCTTTGTGAGTTGCAAAGACACTCCACAGGACTTTTAGAATGTATTTCTGTATTTTAGAAGTTTGGAATTAGACATTTTTCTCCTTGGTAGGTCTCTCTGCATCCTTATTATATTTCTTTCTGTCCAGTGCCTCTCAAAGGCATTTGTTCATATATCTTTTCTGTGAAGGGACTGGCAGCTGAGTGGCTTCCATTTGAGGTCAACTTCCCTAAACAGATGGGCCCCAAAAAGTAATTACAATTTGTCATTAACCTTAGCATCCAGACGCTGTGATGGAGGAGGAAGCTGGAGAGACCTGTTGTTGATAGGATCTGTTGCCTTCCATCACCTCCCATCTTGGTCCCACTGTCCCCCATGTTTTTGGCACAGAATTTTTCTAAAATATGGGCAAAGGGAGAAGTGAGTCATAATGCTTAGAACTTGCTACATCTATTAGGTGGGCATTGTTCCTGTGGTTTGCCATAAGTCAGGGCATATGCTTCTCTTTCTGACTCCTCCCCCTTTTTTGACCAGCAGTTTTAGACTCTCTGTGGATGGGATCTGGTGTCTTGGGGGCATCTGACCTTATAGAC